GCCAGTGAGCGCACCAGCCATTCCTATATAGGATCCGAACCCACAGCGGGAGCGTCGCTGCGCTCCCAGTGCTGCACTCTCCCGAGTGCGCCACGGGGTTGGCCCTAACTTATTTGTTTAAAAAACAAAATTCCTCATTTCAAATGTTTTAAATATCTAGAAGCAAAGGACTGGGATCTTTACAATAAGAGAATTCAAGTCAGGAGGGGCCTAAATAGAGGTTCACATGAAATAAACCCAGGCAGTACATTTTCCTAGGGATTAAACAAAGATTTATAGTCCTTATTTTCAAGAAAGTTTTCCACTCCACAAAATCACACACACACAAATCAACATTTACTCACGCGAAAAATCCTAGGATGCCCTCTTCCCGATAGATGGTTACTATGGAGTCACAAAGCCCACTAAGTACATAGGAAGGAAAGGTGAAATACAGTAAGATTATTTTGAAATTATAAATAAAATAACTTCAATGATCACTTTTGACAAGGTCAAATTTACAACCCCCTTCCCTCACACTTCTCCAGCACCCACTCACTCTGCAAGGATTTGGAGAAAGAAGTGAAGATGTTAACTACTCAAGGGTGCAGTCCTATAGGGTCAGGGGGAATTTGCCCTCAGTGGCTCTGCAACTTACTCTGACATCCTGGGTAGCCTTCTAAACCTCCCCAGGCCTATTTCCTCCTATTTTATTCAATTTTGTGCAGATTAAATTATACAAGATATATGTATTTGTTCTGTAAACTCTAAGGCATCACAAAAATGTAAAGTAGTACACTTCAGCTTCAACAGATCTCCTTGAGTACTTGAAAACAAAAACACTTACCAGTACTTGGATTCTCTGCCAATGAACTGTACCATAGATCTCAGGGTGATCACTGTAGAACACAGACAAAAGATTTTTGAAACTATGTTCAGGTAGATTTTGATAGCCCTGGGGGGGAAAAAAGGTTTTCCCACCTAAAGAAACTTTACTATCTGGATAAATTTGATAAAAGCCAGAACAGCAGGCAAACAAAAAACACACTAGCAAGGCACTTTAATCAACTCCCATGTGAACCTGAGT